GTCGCCGCTGGCTTGGACCCCATCCTGAACATGTCCGAAGCCCAGAGAAGACAAGAATGGATTCAGGTTGATCCCGAACTCCGCCGTGTTCTTCGTGTACTACATGTCAACTTTGGCCATCCAACGAACACCACCATGATCAGGATCCTCCGCAGGCAAAACGCCAAGCCAGAGGCCCTTCGAGCAGCCTCTTTACTGTCATGTGACTCCTGTGGCGAGAGCATTAGAAGGAGGAGGCCAAAACCGGTGAGACTTCCTGGAAGCTATGTTTTCAACTCTCACCTCCAGCTGGACGTGATGTACTGTCGAGATGCCAAAAATGTCCAGTTCGCCTTCCTCAACATCATTGATGAGGGCACCTCCTTCCAAGTGGTCACCTGTCTTGGAGAAGTTCACGGACCACCTGCTTCCAAGGCAATCCTCAGGCACTTCCTCACTTCTTGGTCTTCCTGGGCTGGACTTCCCCGAACGATCCAAGTTGACCGTGGCCGTGAGTTCATGGCTCACTTTGCCGACTACCTCAAGCAGTTCGGCGTTGAGCAGGAGGCCATGCCACTTGAAGCCCCATGGAAGCAAGGAAAGGTTGAGAAGGCTGGAGATCTTTGGAAAGAATTGATGAAGAAGGTCGTGCACGAGTCCCAGATCACCGGACTTCAAGACATGATCACTGCCACCGCCATTGTGACACAGATCAGGAATGCTCATCCAAGATCCAATGGCTACTCTCCAAACCAATGGGTCCTTGGGATCCCAGAGGTGAGGATTCCTGGCGAACTCCGAATTGACCAGGATGCTGAACGTCTTGAACTGCTAGAAGCAGCTGAAGATCCACAGTCAGCCATGGCCAAGAACCTGGCTATCAGAGAAGCCGCCAAGGTAGCTCAGATCAGGCTGGACGCTGACAGCCGAATTCGCCGAGCTCTACTACATCAATCCACTCCGACGAGATGCCTTTCCTGACATCAACAAGGCCGTTCAGAGGCTTCGCATGAGCCGCATTGCTGGTCAACCTTGGACCGACAGTGAAGAGTCTGAGATTGAAGAGTGCCAGATCAACGACAATCCCAAGATCGCAGATGCCTTCCTCACCGGCAGTGCAGTACGCACTGAAGTGAACGTCTACCACCTGTCGCCAGAGGACAGGAAACTGTTTGATGCTGCAATGGCCAAAGAATGGGCATCATGGCAGAAGTTCCAAGCCGTTGAGGTGCTCACTGAGGAGCAGATTGAGGCCCTTCCTGGCGACACCCAGATCATTGGAACACGCTGGGTACACGTGGACAAGAACAAGAAACCACGACTTATGGCCGCAGCAATGTCAAAGAGAACAAAGAAGACAAAAGAACAGATTCAAAAGGAGTTTCCCTTTGAGGCCAAGTCGAGGATTGTTGTCCAAGGCCATCAAGAGGCCGACGCTGGCATCCGCTCCGATTCACCTACAGCATCACTGCTTGCGTTCAATCTCATTTGCGCCATCTCCACCATCAAGAACTGGGAGCTCGTCGCTTGCGATGCGTCCACTGCATACCTGCAGTCCCAAGGCATCAGCAGACTGCTGATCTTGAGGCCTCCGAAGCCTCCACCTCCGGGGATCAACTCCACAGATCTCCTGAGGGCCAAGGGCTCCATCTACGGCACTAGAGATGCCGGGAGGTCTTGGTGGAAGAAGCTGTTCTGCACAGTTCAAAAGTATGGCTGGCGCATGTCATCGATCGAGCAGGCCCTCTTCTACCTGTTCATCGAAGGAGAGCTCACTGGAGTCATGGCCACACATGTTGATGACCTCTTCTGCACCGGCGCCGGTGAAAGGTTCCACGAGACGATCAAGATCCTCGAGACCGAGATCCACTTGAAGGTCAAGCAGAACGACTTTAGGTTCTGTGGAAAGAATGTGAAGAGGATCAACGGCCATGTCGAGCTCGACCAGATTGACGCCATCGAAGGCATGGACTACATCATCCTCAAGCCTGATCGACGGAAGCTTCCAAATGCCCCACTCACCGAAGAGGAGAAGTCAGACTTCCGTGGCTTGATTGGATCAATGGGCTGGGTCACCAGGCAAACCAGGCCTGATCTGACCGTGAACGTCAGCTTGGCTTCACAGACCATGGGCAGCCCAAAGATCAAGGACATCTCATCGAGCTCAACAAGGCAGTGAAGATGTTGAAGGACACGGCAGACGCCAAGTTCGCCTTCCATCCACACGAGAAGCTCGCGTGGGATGATGCCATCGTCTGCGTGTTTGCAGACAGCAGCTTCGCCAATACGAAGTGACAATGTGGCTACATCGTCGGCCTCACCATTCCAGAGATCAAATCTGGAGCTGAAGTGCCGCTGCCGCTGCTGCTTTTGGAGGCCTACTCAGGCTCAATCAAGAGAGTGTGCAGGAGCACACTTGCTGCTGAGGCCAATGCCTTCCTCATGGGCACCGAAGCTGGCGACTATGTGCGTTCGCTGCTGCTGGAGCTGAAGAACCCGGGCCTGAACATCCGGGAAGTGGAAAGCGAGCTATCACGCCCGCTGCTGGTGGCCCTGACAGATGCCAAATCCCTCGAATCCACCATCGTGAAGGATGCCGGGCAACCAAGTGACAAAAGGGTGAAGATCCTAGTCTCTCAAATCAAAGAGATCTTAGGCTACACCAACTACGAGGACAGCAACCAACAAGCTGTCTGGTGCGACACCGCACAAATGCTTGCAGATGTGCTCACGAAGCACGGCTGCGAGAGGGAGCCACTTTTGAATGTGATGGCTACAAGCCGATGGACGCTAGAGCCAAGCGACGAGGCTCGCGCCCGAAAGCAGGCCATCCGTGAAGGACGCCATATATGCGCAAAGCAGCCAAAAAGGCTGATGGTGTTTCTGCCTGTCCACCTACCGAGGGGAGTGAAACGGACAAGCACCACGAGCATGGTAGCTAAGCATGACTAGGTTGACAGGCACGAAGTATCCCCGCTGTTTTCCGAGAGCGCTCTTTTCATCAAGAGGCAAAAGCTGCCACGCTTCCGCCGCGCCGTCGGACGGATTCTGACCAGGTAAAGTGAGAAAGCTTTTGTCCAACAGATTGAGTCTCCTAGCTCCGATGTTTCCCCAACCGTTTTTTGAAAAGAGGTATGAGCTCTTGGCCCGACGAGTTGCAGCCACGCAGCAAGCGCAACAAGTGCCAAGGAGCAGCGTGAAAAGCTCAGCTCCAGCTCTAATGATGCTTTTCTCATTTAACAATATCCTAGTAGCGTCCTTGCTCCTAGTAGTAAGGCCAGGAGCCCCTAATCGTGTCCGTGCTCCTAGTAGCGATGCCCTTTGCTCCTAGTAGCGGCCTTGTTCATTGGGCAAGCCTTCCGAGATGTTTGTGGTCAACTGAGATGGCCGGCAGCATTGATCTCAGCGATCTTCGGCGACGTTGCTTAGAGGCAGCTGGGTTGAAAGGCACTTCACAGAATGTGCTATGGCAAACCGGGGAATTCATCTCGACCAGCTGCGATGAACCTGTGTTGCTGGCACTTGCACCATGCCGAGCCGGAGGGTACATCAAGATGCAATGGCGAAGACGTCGTTGAGTGCCCAAGCCTTAGATGGGATAGAGGCTGAGTCCAAACAAGCTGAGCGTTCTGCTTTCTGCAGAGATTTTGAGTGTTTTACAGTAGTTGCTCATGTTCTTCGATTTCTTTGTTTGCATGAGGTGTGGCGTGTCGTCCTGTTAGAAACTCAGAGAACGACAGATCAGGAAGCTTGAATGTAGAAGTTGACGACGTGAGGCCTGTACACCTCTTTGTGGCTATGGCCGAGCCTAGCTGAGTGATGCACTATTTGGTTGCCATTCGTGAAGTCCTTGGATTATGCTCGAGTCGCAAGCTGAACCCCTGCCGTTCTGTACATTTGTCTAAAGGGACTGGGTTCCAGCTTTGATGACTCAGCGACAATGGTTCTCAACCTAGGCAGCTGTCAAAGAAACTTTGGAAAGCTGCTTGTATATATGGTGATGTTTGGTTGAACTTCCACCATCACACTGGTTGATACCAGTAGGTGCGATCAGCTGTAAACTCCTCAGCTGCATGATCGGAAGGGTCGCAGTCCAATATTTCGCTTCATTTTTTACTGCCTCTGGAGCGGTTCCCGTGTTTGGTTTCCAAGAGGCAGACAGCAGACTGATGAACAGCTGAAACGCCTGTCTCTTTTGATCTTGGGTTGTGCTGAGTTCCTTTCTTTGTTTGGAGGCATGCCAGGTCTTCCTGTATTTTCAGATGCCGGCTGCGTGGCTATGCCGAAGGCAAAGCCGCACAGCTGAGAACAGGTTCCCTTGGAGTTGCATCCGACAAAAGTCCGGGAATAGGCTTTGCAGGTAAGAGAAGATTAGCGAAATGACCCTTGTACATGTTTGCAGCAGGACCAAAAGACTCTTCTCATCTCTTCTCTGTTTAGACTTATGAGAAAATCTGCCAGCCACAGACTGGAATTGTTAAAATATTTATTTTTTCAATTATTTATCTTTTCTGTTATCCTGGGGGTAGTGGTGTTGGTTTTCATTATATTATCATTGCTCATTCCTGTGATCCTGGGAATTATGGTTGGGCCTGGTGTGTGGTTTTCATTATTTTATCATGCTATTGTTGTTGCTATCCTGTGGGGTATGGCAGGGTGTTGACTTTCCTTCTTTTGCATCCTAAAGAATGGCCTTGACACAATTGCAATAAAACTTGTCAAATGAAAAGCAGTGCAGCGGCATTGTTGTTTTCTTCTGCTCTCACAGGTCTCGGAATCTCACTAGATTCTAGATCGATCTGGGTGCGCGTAGCAACATTCAAAGAAGCAAACAACATAATTCCTAAGGTCCTAGGGCCTAGGGTTGAGCGTGGACATGAACATGGCCAGATTATACAGTACTTGATTCTAGATTCCTAGATCCTGCAAAACAAAGGTTCTTGCTACAGCCTTCTCCAAATCCATTGCCAAAATGCCTCAATGTTTGAGGTCTTTAGTGCAATGACAAGGCATTGCAGTCTTTATTGCAAAGCCTTTTGCGTCAACTGCATCAGGCATGGAGCAATGTCTAAAGTAGACACGCCAAGCCCGTTGCTGGAAATGAATGACTGTTCCTGCTTCAGGGTTCCCAATGCCTTGGCAACCGCGGCTTCATCACCCGAATCCTTTGCCCCTGCAAGCTGTTTTAAGCCTTTCAGCATGAAGACTTCGGTCACATAGCTTTTCGCAAGCACTGCGTCCTGCCTGACCTCAGCTAGCAAAGCGCTCAGATTGGACATAGCCTCAGTTGAACCTTCACTCTTCACTTGGTCAGTGTAGTCTTGGAGAAACTTCTCGATCTCGCACTGGACCTGGATAGGGTCAAAGTCAATCAAAGTCAAGCCCTCTCATGTTACTACTAAGATTGTTCATTGAGAAAATGACTTTGAAGAATACAATACAATTCAATACAGGACTGATACTGACACCGTTCCTGCGCAAGGGAATGTGCAGCAAGCAGTGTGCAGTGCAAAACAACTTCAACAACCCCACTATTGGGACAATCCGATAAGAGAGATCAGATCTCAACATATCTCAACAGAGCTGTGTTGTGTGTCGGGGATATGAAGAGAATAGAGGCCATAATTGGCCAGTCTAGGGCCTAGAGTGTATTGTTATTTGATATCTTAAGTCTTACGCCTTACGCCGTGATGCTCAAAAGCTGCACGGTTTGCAAAATTGACTGCCAAGGGACATACTTCTTCAGGAGTTTGTCAGCCAGGGCGTCATGCATGCAAGAAGGGACATCAAGCAAGCGCTTGGCACCACCATCCTCCAAAGCAGCGAAAACTAAGAAGGGGCAGGTGCTTCTTGGAAGTCGCAGCAGAATGTGGATTGATGTCATGCCAGCACTGACCATTCGAAACTTCTGTGACTTTAATTTTGCAGTGTAAGCCTCAGGAACTATTCCTTCAGGTTGAGCGTAAAGAAGGCCAAGCATGCCATTCAATGTCTTTTCAACATCCTTCCCACGTAATGCCTCCAGCACAGGAAAACTCTTTTCCTGTTGCTTCCCACTTGCCACCTTCACTTGTTGTTTCTTTTCAAAGGATGGCCCTCCAAGTTGTAAGAACTTGTACATGAGTGAAAGAAGCAATGCAGCCACAGGCTTGATAATGGCCAACCGATGAAATGGTCGTGACTGAAGCCACAGTGCAGCCTTCTTCTTTGATTGTTGCTTCTTCTTTGCCCAATCCTCAGGCTCGTCCCCAACAGGCTCCTCTTGCTGAACGGGCCCGCTTTCACTTGCCCTGGGCGCGGGCGCAGGTACAGGTGCAGAAAGTTGTTGGTCAAAAGACACAGCAAACAGTGCATCCCACTCATCCCGATTCATCTCACCATCTTCCACCATCTTCTGCGGCTCAGGCTCAGTGAAAGCACTTGTTTCAATGTTCTCTGAGGTTGGAGCTCCAGTCACTTCTGCAATCAACTGTGATAGCAAGCCATGGCAGCCTTCTATCAAGCCAGCCCAATCAATGGCTGCATCCCATCGAGTCCAGCGAGACCGTGGAAAAACTGGAGCCTGACAGGGCACCAATGCCCAACAACACCAAACAGCAAAGGTTCGCAGGGTTGCTTCTGCATTCTCGCAGCAGTTGTACTTGCAGTAGTGCTGCACCTCATCTGTTCTGTACAGGTGACCGTTCATTAGTCGTTGGATGACAAAACGCCGAACTTCATGCTGCTTTGCACGGGCAGGGCTTACTCCAGTCAAAGGCAGAAAAAGGTTGAATAGGTCTTCCTTGTACTTCGCTGCTTTTGAGCGCGGAACATCTATGGGTGCCTCACCAGAGTAGTAAACCACAAGCTTCCTTGAGAATATTTTGCACAAAGCTTGTCTGAACGTGGCTACTGACCCACTCTCAGACCATCCGAGGGTCAGGGCTAAAAGCCCGGATGCATCTGCGTCTGCCACAGACATGCTGGATTTGGTCGCATTGTAAAGTTTGTGTATGTCACAGAACAAGTGGACAAGCGGCTGTTTTGACCAAATCTCACTGAGCCCTCGTTCAGCTGAGATGTTCGCAGCATACTTGTCCGTGCAGGTATGCCTCAGGGAGAAAGTCCAATTAGGGTCATCAGCAACATCTTTGAGACCAGGTATGCTTCTCAAAACTTGCTCCAAACACTTCAATGTGTTCTGACCGGTCGTTGATTGCACTGCGAAGAGTGTTGTTGGCATGATGCCCTGGACTGCGTTGAACTGTTTAGCCCTCGAATTGTACAGCAGCATGCTCAGTGACATCTCCACCTGCATTATTTTGGCATGCAGGGATGCTGCCTCTGATGGCATGGCCTCTGCTAGTTGCTGCAGAGATGCTGACTCCAGATTCACGATTTCATCCGTGGAGTCTTGGACTCTCACTCTTGTTGGTGTCTCATCATACCGCAGGCGAACAATGAAGGCAATGGGCTGTACAATGCTCTCTGAAGAAGACCACATTCTTTGCAGCGCAAACAAGAATGTTGCCCAAAGATAGGCACAATACTCCAACATTGCTGATGCAATTGAGATCACCCGTAGTCGCACACCGGTTTCTTTCACTTTATCCTCCAGCACACGAGCGCTCATCGAAGACATAGCAGAATCCAGCTGATGTTCCACCAAAGGGTCTTCTGGACCAATTTGTTCCTGGCAGCATTTGACATAGGCCCTAGCCAAATCCTGGTGCAATTCCTGCCCAACTTCAACCAGCATTTGCATAGGCCCAAATTCAACAAGTGCGTTCATTCCACACTCTGCAGCAGAGTGGTCTGTGAGCCCACTGGATGCTGCAAGAGCCCTTTGTTCTTTTCGCATAGCAACATTCCTAGCACGTGCCTCACGAGCACGCTCAATGGAGGACTGTTTTTTTCCATGTTCTTCTTCTATCGGGTTCTGCAACTCCTGTCTGAGTAAGGAACTGCCCAGATGACCAAGCGGTCTTCCCCGTTTCTTCTTTGTTTTTGGAGCAACGTCAATTGCTCCATCTGGTGGTCCTTCTTTTGGCACTGGCAATGCATCAAATGAATTCTCGAACAGTGCGTTCCATTCGCCATCCACATCACTGCCGCTATCCAGCTCCATGGCGTTCACTTTATCAAGTGAAGTATATAACCAGGTAATGAGGTGGGTAGGTAATGTGCATCCATGTGCTTGGAAGGTGGTGGATAGGTGTAGTGTAGTGTGGTTTGTGCAGTTAGGGTTAGGGTGGTGATGGCCAGAGAGGGTTGGTTTGTTCATGTTTGTTCTCCTATTGTCCTTTGTTCATTTCTTAAGAGCAAAAGTTGAAATGATTGTATTTATATTCGACCCTCAGCATCTGATATAGCAGCAGCAGGTAGCAACGCGGATTGCGGATAACGGCAGCAGATTCCAATGATGAAAGAATGTCTTAATAGGTCATTCTTTAAGTTAAATACTGCCCTTCCACATAGCCACAGACCTCCTTTGCTTTGCAGCCCGTGAGTGGCTTTCATTAGATTTAGGTTAGTGCCTGAAATGTATATCAGGTACTTGAAAAAGCCATTGAACACTGCCTGTTGCAAACTCTGTTCTGAGATCAAGAAACTATGACAACCATTTGCCAATATTTCAGCCCCCAACCTATCTAATCTATTCAACCATTCTTCATTTCTTGTTGGAATACAACCAGTGTACATCAACAACACAGATTCAGCGGTAGCTATGTTATAGCATATAACATAACAGCTCAACACATCAGGATCTCACAGGCCAGCCCACACCCATTGCACCTGCTGCGGAGTATCTTGATCCATAAATCACTGTTCATCTTGAAGGTGATGACCCAGTAGCCACCCTTCTGCCACTTCTGCTGTCTCATCAATTCTAAGAACCTTGGAAGCCATGGTGGTGCATGGGCGTAGGCATAGTGGCATGACTAGCAGCTAGCTGCTATCCAGCTGGCTGGCATAGCTAGCCAACACAAAGCCTACGGATGACAATTGCTATAGTTACTACTATACTTTACGATATATGCCAGCTGCTAGAACTTACATAGTTGATGCACAAGCTCCTAGCTAGTCTTACTTCTACTGGATTACTAGATTATATATTTAATATATAATATATATATATATATGTGGGCAGCAAGACCTTTTCACATGTGCATTGTCCCCTGCACATAGGGCCGCGTCGGGCCACCTCGAGAGTTAAACATTTCGGAATCGTGATTTCATCCAAAGCGACATGCTATTCACATCGCAGCTACTCTCTATTGGATGAAATCTCCGTATGGCCCTGTTCTTTCAGCGACCATTGGCCAATCTCCATAACCCTTCTCAAAAACGACGGCGTCATCTTTTTAGTTAAAGGGTCCGAAATCATGTTTCCTCCTCCGACCCACCTCACCTGACCCGATGAATGTGCCAAGTCACTCTTGAGGATGGTCAGGTCGATGCCAGTGCGCTTGTCATCTATGTGGGCTGAGGTGTTGCGACACTTGGTCATCGTGTCGTAGAGGGACTTTGAGTCTGTGGCTGCAATAAAAGGAAAGCTGGCCAGCTGTGACTCCCATTTATCAATCTGAAGATTGACATCGAACAGCTCGGCCAGCAAGAAGCGATGCCAGTGGAGGTTGCCGATGCCCTGAAGCATCGATTGGCACTCTGCCGACAGGGTGTTCACTGTGCAGCGTTTGAGCTTATAGCTCTTCCAACCAGCAATCGTGATGTCCTGCTTGTGGTCAGAGGTTTCTAGATCCTGGTGGTAGTAGAAAAGGAGGTATCCTCCTTGACTGTGTTTCTTAGCCAGTTGGAGGAATCGTTCAGACAGGGGTTGGTTCGTGACCTTCTTGTCCTTGGACTTGAAGAGGGTGGTGGTACCTGTCCATTGGGCACCTAGGTCTTTGAAACCATCTGCCCCATCCCACCTGTCATGTTCGATCTGGCTTCCAGCTTGTGTTCTCCGGTCTCTAGTGATCTGGTGCAGATCTGGGCCACTTGGATCAATCACTGAACCGGGGTGGAAGGTTAAGCGACGTGGTGCGACATGGTGTCGGACCCAGGTTGTGGGGGTTTCCGTCCAGTAGTCCTTGGTGTTGTCACAGTCGGCATTGGGACCGGCATTGGCCCAAGAAGCATCGGTAGCTACTCCAATCCTGAGCTTGGAGAGTGGTATTGGTTGGATTCTTAATCCCAAGTCAGAGGTTCTTCGGAGGTCTTCTGCGATGCTATTTCCTTCTACAATGTCTCGGATCATTGGGTGAGGCATAGTTTGCTGAAGAAGTGAGACTCGTCCAGCAATGTCTGGTCGACATTCTTTGGCCACCCAACTCAGGCCTCCAATGAGCTGTCGAAGCTGTCCGATTTCTTCTTCCGAGCATCGAGAGTATTTTTGAGCTCCACGTTCACGACTGAGAGGGATCTTCTTGATGTAGTTCTCGATGTAGTTCTTTTGGGTAACTCGAATGGACCCGTTGGCTTCAGGAGTTAGTTCCTTGCCAGTGAATTTCCCTTCTCCCGTAGTGAACTTACCCATCTTGTAGTTCTGTTGAAGCCACTTCATGTTCTTCCAATGTTGTACTCCACCTCCATGGACCATGTCGTCAGTGGCGAGAGCGATGATGCCGACCGTGTTTCTGGTTTGGCGGCATCGGAGGTAGAAAAGACATGGGTCGGCTCGGCTCTTCTCGTACCCCAACTCCTGGAGAACCCTGGTGATGTGTTGGTACCAGGCGTAAGGACCATCGGTGAGTCCATAACAAGTTTTCTTCAAGCGTAGGAGTTGCCGTGGATGATATCCTGGAAGTCCTTCAGGAGGGAGTTCAGCATAAAGTTCCCGAGCTATCAGATCTCCAGCCTGAAATGCTTGGGTGAAGTCCAGGTGTCCGAGTTCCCATCTCATACTGGATATCACTTGTAAGGTGAAGAAAACAGTTTCTTTTGCGACCTGAGGGGTCGTCGAGGCAAGGTCTTCGGCACCTTGTTCCGAGAAGCCTTTCATGACGTGTCTGGCCTTCGCCTTTTGGGGTCCGAGAGATGGATCATTGTCCTCAATGAGTAGGCCGTCTTGTTGGAGCTTCTCAACTTCCTCCACCTCGACCCCCTTCTCCGTGAGGACGTAGCGGGACTTCATGATCTTCTCCGCTTTGGTTCTCCTGATATGTTCGGATTCACCCCGATCGAGGACCTCGTAGGCACCTGAGCTCAGGTTGTTGGTCACCTCCTTGAGGATGGCCTTGAGAAATTTCTCTTTCTTCTTGGCGGGGAGCTTGTTGAGTACAATCTCCTTGCCCTTTTGTGGTCGAAGCCGGACGAGTTCTTGATACATTAGTTCCAGAGCTTCTGTCCTGATTCGTTTGACTGGTGGTTCAGGGTCCTCCACTCTCTCGCGGATCACTGGAGTAGACCGTGGTGACGTGGGTCTCTCCGGGGGCTTGTGGTTGTCCTCATCTTCAATCATCCTTCTCTCACGCTCTTCGTGGGGATCTTGGTCACCTGGTTCGGTAGGTGTGTAGTCATCCATCCTGGGCGACATAGACATAGGTTCCGGATGGTCGAGGTCTCCCTCCAAGGCTGTTTCCCTTTCTTCCGGTTTGAACTCGACCTCGGTCTCTGCTGTTTTTCCTTCAATTCGGTATCGAGGTTTCTTTGGTGGTGGTGGTTCCTCTCCGTCAGGTCGATCACGATCTTCTTCTTGTTCTGGTAAAGGTGCATTCTCGATGGCCGGGGGCTTCTCGTCGAGGATGATATAGTTTCTAATCTTGTGGTTCTGGATCTCCTTCTGGGTGTTGACAATGTCGGTCAAGAAGTCCATGAACTGGAACTTTTCGTCGTTGGTTATGGGACGAAGGTGTTCGGGAGCTGCTTTCACGAGAGTTCCTCTATAGCTGACCCATATTGTGTTCGGGAGGTCCGTGAGGATGACCTTGCCAGGCCCATGCCAAAAGGCTGGAGAGTCCTTCTTCTGTCGTTCCATTCCCTTTCTCCAGAAGTAGACCGTCTGACCCACCTCATAGTCGTAGAACCGTTTGGGGCCTGCATAGACCGAGTGTTTCAAGGCTTGTTCGCACTCGACTTGATGGAATGCAACAGCGGCTTGGGTTCGAATGTCTGTGGATCGTTGAACTTGTGCATCACCTGCGTGATAACGGGACATCACTCCGATGCTACCTTCACCTCCTTGAAAGATGCCTCCTGGAAGTCTGGGACTGTAACCAAGCATCCGTTGAATGGGGCTGAAGCCGGATTTGTTGGACAGGCGGTTCATGGTAGCGTTGACCTCGTCCACGATGAGGTGCCACTCGTCCCAAGATGAGCAACCTGCTTCCATTAGCGTTTTTGAGAGGACTTCTTTAAAGCTTCTACCAGCTCGTTCCGTGATGGCTCTTTGAGTTGGCATCTCTAAAGATCCTGGGTCCAGGTAGATGTCGTTCTGGTCCGCCATGAGCTCGAAGTGTCCTTTGAACTCTTTTCCCAGGTCGCAATAGATGGCCTCTGGTGGTCCAAAAACTCTGAGCCACTGGTGAAAGGCCCGAACTGCTCCTTGAGGTGTGTGGTCTTTTACGGGGATCATCAACTGAAATCTAGTAGCCCAGCAAACGCAGTTGAGGGCCATCTTGAGTTTGCCGCCAGGTTCAACTCCCGGTAGCCATACGGTGTCCACTCCCACCACCTGATTTGGTTTCAACTGTCTGGGAGGAGCGGCCTGTCGTGCCCCATCGATTCTTTTGTGTCTGATGCAAGTCGGGCGCGCAAGATTCTTGGCGATGTTGACGGCTTCCGTGGAGGCCTTGGCGGTCTTCAGGATGTTTGCTAGTTTTTGGTTTCCTGGGTGTCCTAGTCCGCAGTGCGCTCTCCGAACAAGGCTTTCAATGCTACCTGGTCGTTCAAGAGGTAGAGGTCGTTCAGCATGAGGGTCTTCTTCCGGTAGTCCATCCGCTCCTAGATCACGAACTGGTAGTGGTTCATGATGATCAGCTTGAGGTCCCTCCTCCGACTCCATTTCTTCGCTCGCCATGATCTCCATGAGTCGGTCCACTTGGTAGCTCTCCTTGAAGAGGTCGTCGGTGTGGGAGACATAGAGCTCCTCGGTGTAGGAGATGGAAGCCTTATATGCCTTAAGGATGTGGTCTACCAGAGCTGTAGGGTACCTAGCCGCATAGGCTGATCTTTGGATTCCGTGTGAGGATCCAAGGATTGGTCGGTGAGGGTGGTCGCCTGGGCATTCTTTGTGAAGTGCGCTGGCCAAGACCTTGTTGTTGCACAACCATCCAGTGGGCTTCTTATGGTAGTCACCCTCGATGGATTTGAGCTCGAACTGGCATTGGTGATTCTTGGTGAGGAAGATAGCCGGATCTTCAAGGAGGGTCCTCAGGCGGTGATCCTGCCAGGCCTTGGATGTCCATGGATGCTCAAATAGAAATGTACCCCCATATTCATGAACCATGTGACACAGTTCCACCGCAAATCCTAACAACAATTTGGCCTCCATGAGTCTCCTATGGTATTCCTGTTGTTTGTGAGGGTCGGACTCTCGGAATTTAAGACTCAAATTCTGCAACATGGACAGCATGGTGCAAGGAGGGGAGATGCACACCAGCCCTGGTTTATGTTTGTTCAAATACTCGCGGATGGTCCTACGATAGGTTTCCTTAGTCAAGTCATGTCCGAGTTCGAGGTCGAATGCTTCGCCGGCTCGTAAACCATGTCGTTTCGAACGGCTCGAAAAACGATTCGGGTTGTAAACCTCTGCGACCAGCTTAGCTTGTTTCTTTCCTGTGGAAGGTCCCAGGAGTTTGGCCAAACGGTGCACGAATTTACAATTCGGAGTTTTTGAATTGGCTACTGTACAGAGCAGCTGGTCAAAGGGATTAGGTCCCTCTGGCTCCTGTAGGCAAGTCATAAGGTTCTGCCACATTTGGTGGGCTTCTGCTAGGGCACCCTGTCCCTGTCGCAGCAAGCGCTTCAACTTCCTACCGCTCAGCTGACTCTCCTCGACCTTGATCATCCCTGGTAGGGACCGTCCTCCCAAATTCCCCCCGACTGAAGAGCTCCCGACTGCTGCAGGCGGCGGGCCATTGCCGGAGTGAGATTGTTCATGTCCTCCTGGTAGATCGGGTAGCGAGGCGGAGGGTATCCCTCTTGGTACTGAGCTCCCGGATGTTGGCGAGTCAGTCGAGTGATGTAGAGGGACTTTTGGTCCTTCTGTTCCTGGCGCTTCTGTGCCTTTTCCCTTCCCAGAGGGGTTGGCTCGTCCACCAGGGTCCGGTTGCAGTCCAGACACTTCTCCATGATCTTGAAGGCATTGGTTCCCGCTCGGCTGATGTTCCGATGCGGGCAGCGTCGGGGTAGTGGTGGTACCTGCGGTGTGGTGGACGACGATGGGGCTCCCCTCCTCATAGGTTGTGGTGAAGGCTCCTCCAGGTGATCGAGATCCGGACGGAGTGGTTGCCGATTGCACCACTGGAAGGTGGAGCACTGTCCTTGTCGATCCATCGGGCACCTCCAGAAGAGACGGCGGTTGTTCTTCGCCGTGTGACTCAGGAATAGTCGGCATAGGCGTCCGTGACCGCATTTGGGCGGCGGTCCAACGATCTCCTTCATCTCCTCGAGCAGCTGAGTCACATCTCCCTGGGAGGACCCGGGACTGGCTTGAAGGAGCTCTGAATTCAAGCTCATTCTCTCCCATGAGGCTTCGCTGGTGGTCCTGGTCGGAGTTCGGGGCGCAGGTGCTCGTTCTTCTTCCGGATCGGGTAATCGATGGCGAGGAGGATGTAGGTCGCGGGCCTCCGTCGGCCGCTTCATCAGGTTCTCGAGCAACACGTTGAGCCCTTGCGTGACATAGAGCAACTTCCGAAGTAGGCGGTTCCATCCCCAGAGAGAGGGAAAGTGGGCCTCCTCTCGTGGTCCTCGAGGTCGCTTCAGCTCCGGCATGGCTTCCATGAGAGGGGGATTGCTTCGGAGGTTCACGCTCGTTGTCAGGGGCTCCGGTTTTGGTCTGTGAAAAACTGTCTGCGGCGGGATCATGTGATTGTTCCGTCTTGAGTACCTCAAATTCTTGGTTGTTGCCGCAGTTGACCTCTTGACTGAGAGATTCCAATTGACCGGGGGTGAACTCACACAACGGAATCCGAAGGGCACCGGTAGGTCCTAGGTGACATTTAACCGTAAACCCTTGCTTCCTGAACCGCGCCCGGAGTCCTGTCTCATTATCGAGGTAGATCACCGCCCTACACGAGATGAGGAAGGGCAGGCTGATCAAGAAGGGGGCGGCCACACTCTCGGGGTTGTCGAAGACGGCCGGCATGAAGTATGAGCCCTTCTGTCCAATGCTTGTCGGAACTGCTGCGACGACTTGGGTGCTCGAGATCCCATGGACGCTCTTGAAACGGTGGGTCTGATCCTTGGTCCTGACTGGGAGTCCAGGAGGGAGACGTTGAGCGAGTCGTTCAAGGGTCTGCCGGCCCACTACCATTCGTTGGCAACCGGTGTCGATGGTTGCGCAACATTCATCGGGATACGGGTTCGATCGGACGGGTTCGGAAACAAGTTTCGGACTTTCCCCATACATAACCCCAAAAATATCGTGATCACTACTGGAGCCACCTTCCCAAGGGTCACCCTGGAGTTCGGCCATATATGCACTCTCGACGTGAGGTGCCATCAGGCGTCGATCACTAGATCCCGGGCCGCCATGACCCGGGACATCTGCGGAGATTTCATCGCTCAGGCGTTCACCTCCAGGGAGAAAAGCACCCTCACCCGGGTGCTCCTCAAGGTGGCTGCAGAAGATGGCCTCTTCCAACACATGGGCCTCCTTCGGGGCTCCACGATCTCGGTCCTTGTCAGGGCATTCCTTGTGCCAGTGACCGGGTTTCCGACAGATGGCGCACTTGGTGACCTTCTTCAACTCCTCCACGGTCATGCGGTAGTTCCCTTCCTTGAAGGGAGCATTGTGCCCCACCATCGTGAAGCTCTTGGTCTTGCCCTTGAAGGTGTTGGAATACCCTCTCGACAGCTCCTTCGCCTTCTTGGCCTTGAGGGTCTGCATGTAGGTCTTCTTCTTCTGCTGCAAGATGGTGCTCAGCACCTCCGCGGCCTCGTGTTCTTCGAGAACACTTCCATCACCGTCTTCTCCATCGTGTCCTTCTTCGTCTTCACCTTGGAGGTCTTGAAGCGCCTCCTCCACGGCATAGATCTCGTCATCCTCCGGGTCATTGGGCTCGGCATTGATGTAGTGGGCAGCAGCGGAGGATGTCATCCGAGAACTCGTGGTCATAGTTCCCTTCTTTTCCTTTTCAATCCCGACCTGCGAGGCCTGGAGCTTCGTCTCGTGCTTGCGGATCCATTCCCGGATGTCTCCAGGTTTGATGGACCCTCGAGAGTAGTTGAGGAGCGACTTGATGTCGGCGTCGGAGAGCACCAAGGCGTTGATGAGCAAGAAACCAACGTACCGTTCGGGAAGAACGACGGAGTGCTCAGTCACCTTCCTCATTGCCACGTCCCAGCGGCTGAAGAAGGCTCGAAAGTGCTCATCCTTGCCTCGGCGAAGATGGAAGGTGATCTTCGCCAAGGCGGCCAACAGGTCCTCCTCGCGGTCCTCACCGAAGTTCTCGGGGAGCTCCATGAGGGCGATCAACTCATCGCCATTGCCATCGCTGGTCATCCACGCCCGATCCCGGGCGAGATATTTCATGGTCTCGAAGGGGGTCTTCGTCAACTTCTGAAGGAGTAGCGGCCCTCGTGCACGGGGACGGGCCTTGGTGGTAGCAAGCCACAACCTGGCCTTGATGGCATAGTCCTGAAAGGCCAAGGATTCGCCATCCCACTCTGGCGGTGGCCCATTGCTTCCAAAGCTGCTACCACCGTCGCCCAAGTCACTCTCGGCACTCCTGGTCGAGCTGCCATGGCGCCGCCGGTGTTGGCGGTGTGGATACCGGGCTCGAAGAAATGCCCGGAACTCATCACTGTCAAAGGCCTCTTCGGCCAGTTCCTCTTCATCCAAGTCACCAGGGCGTGGCAGCCCTTCGTCAAACTCATGGCCTTCCGGCCTTGACGAACCATCGGCTGCTGTCGCAGCCGCAACCGGGGGCATGGCTCAAAGCGAACCACCAACCAGGGACAACCCCAAAACACCCCAAACAAAACCGACCAACCGAGCCAGGTCCAAGGGCCGAACCTGGCTCCGCTACCACTGTGGGCAGCAAGACCTTTTCACATGTGCATTGTCCCCTGCACATAGGGCCGCGTCGGGCCACCTCGAGAGTTAAACATTTCGGAATCGTGATTTCATCCAAAGCGACATGCTATTCACAATATAATATATAGGTTCTCCTGATTATTTGCAACCTATGACCCTAGCAGTGACCCTAGCCCTATGCCCTGGCCCTATGACCCTATGGCCTATGAGGCCAGTATGAAAATATCAGCCGAGGGACCTATCCTTGGGAACTTCCTTGCCACCTTTCTCAAATGGCGCGCAAAAGCCCCATACCTGTTCAAATATTCCTCGCTGTGGTTCATACCGTGCATAAAGGTCAATGACCCTTTGCATGGTGACATCAAACAAGTAGTGCGTGGTAGGCCCTCCATTCGCGAAACGTTTGTTTCTTTGTGTAGAGAATGGGTCACATGGTGACCCAGTCATGAGGATGTCAACCTCTAGACCCCGTTGTCGCAAGACCTCATCTGGATCACATGCCAAAACATCACCCATCAAAGAAGCAGCGCAGGTAGCACAGGGTTTGCCAGTACGGATCTGGTCTTCGATGGATTCAAAAAAGTGGTCAATGCGTCCAGGGTAGTTCGCTTCACAAAAATCCCTGTAGCTCTTGCTAATTTCAGAGGCAGAGAGTATGGTAAAGTCCACGCCCAACGCCTCCCGTGGCACAGCGCTATGAGTCTAGACTAGACTAGACTATACACTTCTCTAGAGCCCAGAGATGCCCAGAGTGTAGTGTAGAGTCTAGAGTGACAATTGAAACTCTGCCTGACTACACTTACCTACCATTTACACTCTGTTCATGTCCAACATACAGTCTAAGACTCTAAGAATCTAGAATGTTGAATGTAGAACTCCGATTGAGCAACTGTTGGCCATAAATCCTGTTTCCTGAGACCATCCAAGACCTATAGTTACTATAGTTGGAATCTCATGGTGTCATGCATCGTGCCCCCCATACCCCACGCCTTCAGAACAGCTGCTTCCGCAGAGCAGCCCGTGCATCCGCTGATCACCCTAAGCGGGCTGCTGCGCTTTCGTGGCCACGAAAGCTGCAGACCTGTCACGGCCTTGAATAAGGTTTGAGCCCACCAGGTTGTCAAAAAACGCAACGAAGACCCACTAGTGCTGCTACTACTCGCCTCAGACTCTGACTCGCTTTCTGCTCTCAACCCACATGTTTCCTCCACTTCGTTCTCTTCTTCTTGTGACACCTGAATCTCTTTCTGAAAAGCCTCGTCCCAATCATCATCTTCAGAAAGTGTGTGTTCTAAAGCCTCTGTGAATGATTTTTCTGAACTTGTGTCTGGCGGGATTGATTGAGCAGCATCGGACTTGTCAGGTGGCTGCTGAGCAACACCGTGGTTGTGGAACAACTGATCCCACTCGTCTTCCATGGCCTCACCCCAACATTCTACACTGCTTGGTGTGAGCGCCTGAACCAAGAGCAGCGATTGTTAGTGGTGGAACGCCTTAGAATCAGCCTTAGAAAGTGATAATTCCAATGATAATGTTCATGAAAACCAAAATGAAAAACAAATTGGCTCACCAAAACATATGATAATTCCAGAGATAATATCGGTTATAACCAAAATGATAAAATATCCCAAAAATAATTAATTTTACAGCCCACAGTCCCAGGCTGCCATTTTTTCATAAGTTTAGACGATGAAGGATGAAGATGAATGGACATGCAGCGGGGATGTGGTAGCAAAGAAAGCAGCAGATTCAAACTTAAACAATTTTGAGGATGTTGTCCTCGGGGAGATTCCTTCCCCGTTTGCCATGGACTCGTAGTGCCTCCATGGTGGCGCGGCATTTTGCTAAGCGAAAGTCATTGTACCCATTTATGGCAAAGCCAGCCACAGTCTTTGACTTCGGTCTTTCTCCGGACGACGAGCAGCGAGCTGCCGAATTGCACAAGACAATTCAGGTCTACGATGGTCTGATTGAGTGCACCTGGTATCCAGGTATTGTGGAGAATATCTTAGCAGGGGGACCGCAGGTTGGAGGCAGTCTTTCTCTTGGAAATGCCGGTCTTGAGCGATTTCTGGGTGAGAAGGAGCACATGGATGCGGTGCCTGAGAAGTTTTGGACCTACGAAACATTGGTACGGGACCTGGCCTATATCCGGGCTGCGTGCCATGAAAGCGCCGGCAAAGTGCATTTCTGTACATCGGCTGCTGAACTGGAGGCGGCCTACTCAGTTGGCGCTGTAGCCTTGAGCGCAGATGTGCAGAATTCAAATTTCATTGGTTCTGACTTTGATCGCTTGGAAACAGTGTACTGGCTCGGGCTGCGCCGGATTCAGTTGACTTACAACGATGCAAATTCGGCCGGCTTTGGCTGTATGGAAGAATCTGACGGCGGCTTGACTAAGTGGGGCGAGCGGTTGGTGGGTGCCATGAACGACTTGGGCATGATTGTGGACACTGGGCACTGCAAACCGCAGACTGTCATTGACGCGGCCAAAGCATCCAGAAAACCCATGACCTGTTCACACGCTGGCTTAGTGTCCATTTGCCCTGGGAATCCCCGCACACAGACAGAGGAAGCGATCAAGGAAGTGGCTAAGACGGGAGGTGTTTTTGGCTTAGTTGCTGCTCCTATGGCCGTAAACAACAGTGACTGTTGCACAGTCGATGACCTCGTGAACAACATTGATGCAGCTGTAAAGGTGATTGGTGAAGACCATGTGGGCTTTGGTTCTGATTTTCTCATAGCCGCTTCCATGGAGGAGGTTTTACGCGCGCCGGAATGGGATGCAGAGAGGGCTGGAGCAGTGAACACCAGTGGATTGGTGTGGCCCTTCTCAGATGGTCACGTTGGCTTCGAAAACAACAGTGGGTACAGAAATTTGACGCGTGGACTTGTTGCAAAAGGCTACTCCGATGAGTCCATCCGCAAGATCATGGGAGGCAATTTTCTGCGAGTTTTCAAAGACGTCGTGGGTTGAATGAAGATGTTAACCTTGGACCTTGCCCGGCAGCTTGCCTGGAACATTTTTGTACATGTCCTCAGGCTCGGACCGGAAAGTCGTTGAATTGTGGAAGACCAGTGTCATTTTTGAAAAGAGTGTAGATGCGAGTGCAAAGCTCATACGTACACAGAGAGTTCCCATACATACATTTGTCTCATTTCAACATTTTGTGCTCTGTAGCCTGCAGCTTGCAACCTCAAGCCACCAACTCGGCATCCTCCTGCATTGCTTTGCCGGAGCAGGACTGGTTGTGATGGCTGGAAACTGCTGCTGTCAACTTGTTCAGTTATTTTTTTCAGTGGCAACTGTTCTTCCAAAGCGTGCAATGACTAATGTAGTAAAGAGCGGTCGTGAATATCAGGAATTGGGCTAGAACCTCCAAACGCGTTAGGCCCGCAAAAGCGACAACCATATTTCCGCAGTTTTGGATATGTTCGGCAGCAGCTATGTTAACATTGTGGCTAAATCATGCAAAAGAAAAAGGACCCCCTCAAAAGCGATAACCTTGCTGAATCATGTCCTCTACTCGAAAGCACGTTTTCGCAGAGGCTCATGATTATTGGCCACAGGACTCAGGAGCTATGGCACGCAGCTCTATTCTGCCTCTCCTTTT